TCCTCCTCCTCCTCCTCCTCCTCCTCCTCCTCCTCTCCACAAATACCACAACCTTCTAGCACTGATGCTGTTACCTAGCTGACTCATGAAATGTCCACAGGAAAACAACCAAGGTCAGAGAGCACCAGGGATTCTACAGTTCAACCCTGAACTCCATTTATTTTAGTTCCATTAGAAGATTACTCTCTGTTGGAGGTGTTTAAATAGCAGTTAGATAGACTTCTCTTAAGATTGATGTGGTTGTCTATTTGTGTTCTGGAGGGTTGGAGTAGGTTTCTCCAGCCATGCACCCTATTGCATGCCGGTGCCACTCACGGCCAGACCTAGCCAGGAGAATGGCCTGCTGTGATGGAGGGATGGCATTGCAGTGGAGCTGCTCGGAAGGTAGCCAAAAATAACCAGTGGCTGAAGGTTGCCCACAAAAGGTGGCCGAGCCTTGCCGTGTCCCCACCATCACTAAGGTGACTAGAACAGAAGGTAGGTGAGCGAGGTAGAGGGCGAGTGAGTGGTGAGTGGGAGCCAGCTCCTGGGCAAGGCGAGAGCTGGGGAAAGGTGTGTACCGCAACCCAGCCAAGGCAGGTGGCAAGCGGGCAGCAACTCTGGGACAAGGCAGGAGCCAGAGAATGGCTCATTCACTGACCCAGCTGGGAAAGGTGATGAGAGGTCAGTGGCTCCAGGGCAAGGCCGGAGCTGGGGAAGGACACATTGACCCGGCCGAGGCAGGTGGTAGCTCTGGGGCCTCAGGGAATGGCACATCCCTGGGGCTCCAGATACCAACCCAAGGCAAAGGGCAGGCGGGTGGCAGAGCAGGAAAAGTGTGGAGGCGACTGATGAGGTGTGTAGAGGGGCCACATGGTGAAGAGAATGCAACATATAGAGGGATGGGCATGCGGGTGGGGCAAAAGAGCATGGAGCGGACAGTCGAGCAGGGTGAGCAAGCATTGAGCGGGAGGGTAGGGCAAGAAAGCAGTGACTGGGTGACGGGGCGGGGCCAGCCAGCAGTCCCTGCCGGTTCAGCGCCCCAGGCCAAATTTCCCCTACTGGTTTATGTGAACCGGGATGAACTGGCTGAATATGACCTCCTCATGAATTCATCCAAAGGGTTAAGTATCAGCTAAACATCATTGCCCATCTTCAAAATGGTAGCAGTCCGATGTTCCTTCAGGGATACTCTATAGCAGCATTCTGACTTTGCTTTTCTCCCCCTTTATTCCAAGTTTACTTGCAAAGTACAGCAACCCATAGAATGGGAGTCAAAATGTCTGTGTGCCACTGACACTGACAACCCCAGGCAAATTTCAGAGCTGGAGCAGATGTCAAAACCGCACTGAACCAAACCAGAGGGCATCCAAGCTTGACACGAAGCAAATTTCCTTGGCAAAAGTGAGGGAAAATAAACACCCTCTTCACAGAAATTGCAATGATGTGATGCGACCAGACCCTTCTTGGCTCAACGTGGAGGTTGGCACACTTTGCAAAACCTTCATTACTGCCACATGGCTGGCACGAGCTTGGCTCTTCCCAAGGCAAACAGTTTTGTGTGGTTTCTCTGCGGAATGAAATCTCACTAGCAATTTCTGCAAAGACCCTTAGGATGCTCTTTCTAACATCCCGTCCCTTCTCTCCTCCTCCTCCTCCTCCTCCTCCTCCNAGACTAAAACATATGAAGAACGGTTGCAGGAACTGGGTATGTCTAGTTTAATGAAAAGAAGGACTAGGGGAGACACAATAAAAGTATTCTAATATCTCAGGGGTTGCCACAAAGACAAAGGGGTCCACCTGTTCTCCAGAGCACCTGAAGGTAGGACAAGAAACAACAGATGGAAACTAATCAAGAAGAGAAACTGTAGAAATGTAGAACAGAGGAGAAGTTTCCTGCCAGTGAGAACAATTAAATCAGCGGAACAATTTGGCTTCAGAAGTTGTGGATGCTCCAACACTGGAAGTATTTAAGAAGAGATTGGACAGCCATTTGTCTGAAATGGGTCGGGGTTTACTGCTTGAGCAGGGGGTTGGACTAGAAGACCTCTAAAGTCCCTTCCAACTCTGTATTCTGTTCAATTTGATCGGACAATACAACGCCCGGTTTCCTGGTTCCTGCTTTTTTTACCAACATTTGAACACCATCAAGAATCAGACTGAACCCAACTAAATAAACACTTTCTCTGTAATGTCCAGATGTGCATCACAAGGGGCATTCATTATCACCAGAATTATTAAGGCTATATTTCATTTTGAGCCACCGCGCTTTGGGCATAGATGTTCTAAAAATGTCCACCAGCTCCCCCCTAGTGTTCTTCTCTCTCTCCTCCCTTTGAGTTGGCTGGTGGCTTTTCCGTGGCCAGGATGATCCCAGGAGGACGGTTCTGTCTGGTGGCCAAGCTCAAAGGTGTTCCTCAATAGATGTTCTCCAGGAAACCAGCTTACTGTCATCGCTCTTGAGGTCTTCTTCTGATCTTCTTCTTGGGTTCCTGGCCTTCTCCCTGCGGGTTAATCTTCAGAATCGGGAACGACGTGGTTCTGCCAACAGGAAACGTGGTTGCAGGTGGGATATGGCTTGTTCTTGGTCAGCTCGCAGCATCCTACCGATTTCTCTTGTTGCCATAACCTCATCGCCATCAAATGGGTGACCACCATGACCTTCTGCATGCAGAGAGGACAGGTTTTATTTCTGGCTTGGGTGATGTGCCAGAGGTCGATGCATCGGCTGTGAAAGGCATGGGAACAGGAGAGCACCTTCACGCCATCGTACTGCATGTACTGGTCTAAGCAAATGGCGCACTCTTGGTACTTAGAACCGGTCAACGAGATATGGACAGGGTCCTTCCCCTGCTCCCGGAGAAGGCGGTTTCGCCTTGTTCTCTTCCTCTTGCTCCAGGGTAGATAATGCTCCGTCAGCATCATGGCAATGAAAGTGGCGGACACGGTAAGACAGATGATCCAACAGGTGTAGAACATGGCAATCTGGCAGCAAAAGCCCGCTGGCTGGAGGAGACACTGGCTGGGACTTCTGACCACCTTGAGACGGGAAGTCCTCGAAGCCATTTTCCAGGGGAAATGAAAACGTTCGCGCCTGGGGAGGGCGAGAAGGGCTTTCCCCGAGCGGCGCAGATGTTTGAGGATTTTTGCCGTCTCTTCCGCGGAGAACGTGGCTGGGATGTGAAGGTGCCATTTGGCGCCCGGCTCGCTCACGATGTTCTCCAGCATTGGGGAACTCGCATTGTGCACGAGGGCGGTGCGGGAGCCCACTTGTTGGGCCTGGAGGATCTTCTTGGAGAAGGAGCAGTTGTGTTGACGGAAGAGGACTACAAAGAGGGACGAAGACGGAGGTGGCCCTTGGATGCGGTGGTAGGGGTTCAAGGGCTTCGCCTTCACCCAGAGGCCGAGGAGTCCCTCGGGAGGGAGCAGGGGTTGAAAGAAAGCCGGTAGAACCCCAACATCTAGCGAGGTGGCGTTAGGGTTGCAAGTGGCGGGGCTGAAGGCCTTGATGGAGATGGCTTGGAGAATCAAGAACAGAGCGACCATGTGCCAAGAGCGTGAAAATGGAAATCTCATGCTGGTTGAAGGTCCTGGAGATCTTAGCAGGGGGCTTAGTCCTCCTTGAAGGTCAACCGAGGGGAGAAGAGATGCTCTTAGGCTCCAGAAGAAGAGCTGTAGCTTCTAGATGGCTGAACTTCCATAGATTCAAGAGCTGTAGGTGAAGTTGACAAGTAGATCGGGGTCTTCTTGATCTGCTCCCCTCTCAGCAGGCCTGGCCTGCTGGTTGCTGCCAAATGATTGCTCTGCTCTTCCTCCAGGTGTCCTTCAAGGTGTTTCTTCAGTTGGGCCTTTGTGACCTCATCGTGTTGTCTTCCCCTCCATTTCTCCCTGGGCTTCCCTTACCTCCCATGGCTTCTGGGAACTAGTGAGATAACCCTAATTCCTCTGGCATGGCAGCTGGAAGTGGTTGACATCTTTGGGGAGAGTTAACTATATGGAGAGCTATTCTTCGGGAATCCATTAATCTTCCTCTTTCTCCTCCTCCTCCTTCTCCTCCTCTTCCTTCCTTCCTTCCTCCTCCTCTTTCTTCTTTTTTCTCCTCTTTCTCTCCTCCCCCTTTTTCTCCCATTCTCCTCCTCCTCCTCTTCCTTCTCCTCTCCCTCCCATTCTTCTCTTTCTTTCTCCTCCTACCCCACCTTCTCTTCCTCCTTCTTCTCTCTTCCTCCTCTTTTCCCCTCCTTCTCTTCCCATTCTTCTCTTTCTGTTTCTTTCTCTTTCTTTCTTTCCCTCTTTCTCTTTCTTTCTCCTCCTCCTCCACTGCCTTCTCCTCTGAAATAGTACAGGGTTTTGTAAATACTCCAACATAGGGATTTTTTAAGAAGCGATTAGATAACCCTTCGCCTGAAATGGTATAGTATAGGGCCTAAACGGGATTGGACTAGAAGACCTCCAAGGTCCCAACTCTGTTATTCTATTCTATTCTATTCTATTCTATTCTATTCTATTCTATTCTATTCTACACTTATTCTATTCTATTCTAATTCTATTCTTCTCCTCTCTTCCTCCCCATCATTCCTTCCTTTCCCCCCCTCCTCCTCCTCTTCCACCACCACCACCACCACCTCCCATTCTCTTCTTCCTTCTCTTTCTCCATTTCTTCCCTTATTATTTCTTTGTTAGAATAGAATAGAATAGAAT